ATCATAGATAATATAATATTTCTCCAAGAAATGTGGGCATCCGATCCTTGGGACATGAGCCTTTTGCATTGACCAGAGTAATGAATGGAAATCATGGCATTCTGTTGGTGGGATGGCAGACTTTAGTCATCAGGAGTGTGTGTTGGTGGGCACTGGGGCAGGCAAAAGGTGTAAAAGGAGAAAATCTCTGGGAATATAGAGGCTTCCCAAAGTAATCCAAAGTCATCCATTCATTTTATAGTTTGTTTGCACATCACTCACTAATTGGCTTTTAGATATTTACCTGTGCTAGTCATTGTGTTAAGTATTGGGAAATGGGCAATAAAAAATTTAGAGAAGAGTTGATCCATTAACTCAAGAAGTCCATGGTCTGATAAGAAAAGTACGATGCTGGCACAAACTGAAGGAGAAAGTTATGAGTCATGGGAGAGTCACAGATAAAGGATCGGGGAAATTTAAAGGGGAAAGAAAGAATACTGGAATGTTCCAGGAAGGGTTTCGTGAGGGATGTGGAATTTGGGCCAGGCCTCAAGGCAGGATAGGGTGCTAAAAAAGAGAAAGGAGAGACAGTAGTTATTTTTCTTTCTTTTTTTAAATTATTATTATTATTATTATTTTAATTTTATTTTATTATGTTAGTCATACAATACCTCATTAGTTTTTGATGTAGTGATCCATGTTTCATTGTTTTCATATAACACCCAGTGCTCCATTCAATCGTGCCCTCCTTAATACCCATCACCAGGCTAACCCATCCCCCCACCCCCCTCCCCTCTAAAACCCCCAGTTTGTTTTTCAGAGTCCATCGTCTCTCATGGTTTGTCTCCCCCTCCGATTTCCCCCCCTTCACTTTTCCCTTCCTTCTCCTAATGTCCTCCATGCTATTCCTTATGTTCCACAAATAAGTGAAACCATATGATAATTGACTTTCTCTGCTTGACTTATTTCACTTAGCATAATGTCCTCCAGTCCCATCCATGTTGATGTAAAAAGAACTCGTGGCTTGAAACAAGGTGTGGTATAGGGCTGCATGGAGGCATGTTCGAGTATTGGCCAATACTTGGTTCCCTGAAACCCAAGTCCATATAGAGGACTAATGGGAGACAAAGGTGGAGGGCAGACTGACGCCCTATCTTGAAGGTCTCTACGTGCCTTGGCAAAAGCATATTCAATTGGCTGAACCGTTCCGAGTGTGCAAATAGCACCGCAATTCAGGAAGATTAATCTAAGACCATGAATAAATTGTAGTAGGGACACCTGAAAAAAATGCAGTTGAGAGAGAATAAAAACTTGCACCGGAGGAGTTGGGATGGAGACGAGGAGGTGCATAGAGATACACAACAGAGGCACTGGTATGTGTACGGGAGCTACGTGTTGTTAGAAAAAGAGTGCGGTTTTTGAATCAGACAGACTCTAGCATGACCTTCACGTTTTTCTCACTTGGAACTACCTGGAGGCAGTCCCAGCTTCTCCAGGCCTCCCTGTCTTCCTCCCCAGCAATGTCCACTCGCACGTGTGATTGAAGGCTCATCTAATCCCTCCTGGGTTGTGGTGAGGTTCAGGTGAGATAATAGATGTGGGAACACTTCATAAAGTCTGAAAAAAAAAAAAAAACAGAAGTTTATTGTGGTTATTTAAGTTACTACCTGGATTTATTGGATGAACAGAAGTGAAGGATATCAGGTGAACCTCGGGTTTTTATACCAAGATGACTCTGAAGGTGGAGAGTCATGGGCTGGAAAATGAAGAAAGGGGAAAGGGCCAGGAGGGCCCCCACTCACCTGGCACCTCAAAATAAACTCCAGCTGGGTAAACATTACACTGTTAACTCGAAACCACTGAAGATAGAACGTAGCCACTGAGAAATTCTGTCTAAGAATTCCAGGGAAGCTCGAAACCAAAAAGGAAAACTATTAATACATTGGACTGCATTAGAAATTACAACTTCTTTTTTTTAAAGATTTATTTATTTATTTGATTGATTGAGAGAGAGAGAGAGAGAGAGAGAGTTAGGGGGAGGGGCAGAGGGAGGGAGAGAATCCTCAAGCACGCTGCCCACTGAGCACAGGCCCCTCGAAGCTTGATCTCAGAACCCCGAGATCATGACCTGAGCCTAATAGGCCCCTGGGTGGCTCAGTAGGTAAACATCTGACTCTTGATTTCAGTTCAGGTCATGATCTCAGGTTTGTGATATGGAGCCCCACATGGGGCTGGGCGTGGGGCCTGCTCAAGATTCTTTCTTTTCCGGGGTGCCTGGGTGGCTCAGTCGTTAAGCGCCTGCCTTCGGCTCAGGTCATGATCCCAGGGTCCTGGGATCGAGCCCCACATCGGGCTCCCTGCTCTGCGGGAAGCCTGCTTCTCCTTCCCCCACTCCCCCTGCTTGTGTTCCCTCTCTCGCTGTGTCTCTCTCTGTCAAATAAATAAAATCTTTAAAAAAAAAAAAAAAAAGTTCTTTCTCTTCCTCTCCCTGCTCCTCCCCCTCTAAAAAAAAAAAAGAAAAAAGAAATTATAACTTCTATTTAACAAAAAGTAATGAATAGGATCGGAAGGAAAATAGCAAGCAGGAAAACTTGTTGGCCAATCATGTGACTGACATGGATGGATTTCTAAACACCCGAAGAGCTTTACAGAACAATTAAAAACACAAATGAGTGGCCAGATAGAAAAAGTGGCAAAGAGTATAAATGAATAATTTATACAAGGAGAAATACAAATGATTAATATATAAGAGAAAACCAATTATATCTTAATCAAAGATATTCAAAAAGAGGATTTTTTTTTACCTGCTAGATTGGTGATTCAATTAAAAAGATTGAGAATAATTTTTTTATGAAGGGTTGAGAAATGATTACTATTGTGCATTATTTGGGGTGGGGATGAAATATAAAATATAGCAGTCTTTGTGGTGTTCGATTTGATAATTCATATTAGTAGGTATAAGTGATATGTCCTTTCAGTTATCAAACCGACATCTGGGACTTTACATGAAGAAGATAGATATATAAATGTGAAAATATAAATAAATAAAGATGTTTCTTACATTGTTTAAATTGGAAAAAAAATAGAAATAAATACACAATAAATTAGGTAAATAAATTGTGATATACCTAAAATTTTCTTTAGATAATAAAGTTGATGACATGGATCTTTATTTATTTAAATGTAAAGCTGTTCACATATTATTGAGTGAAGATGTGTAGTATTATCACACTTACTTATAATATTATATATAATAAATATACCTAAATATACATATGCTTGTTTGTTTATGCATTGATACAAGATCTATCTAGAGAGATGTTCACTAAAATGTCACCAGTGTTTTTCTCTGGATCATAAGATTTCTGGTACATTTTTCTATGTTGTTTCAATGTTTAAATTTCCAAAGCATTTTTTTGCCCAAACAATTACATTTTTAAATGAAATACATAAAATAAATTAAGAGAAGGACCCAAAGAGGGAGAGAGGAAAGAAAGGAGGGAAGGTGGGAGGGAGGAAGAGAAACATGGGGAGAGGGAGGCATATTAAAAGGTATCCATGGGGTTTTAATTTATGGAGCTGACTAGATGCCTATACGGAGAGACCAATGGCATTGAAAGAAAAGCTTATTACATATACTTTTCAAGGCAAGGGGGCACACCATGCCACACAAGGCCACACAAGGAAGCACCAGGTTTTTCCTAGGAGCAGAAGGAGCAGTGAGGAGAAACTATGATCCAGAGGCTTTCCTGAGCTTTCTGAGAGTAAGATAAGGCAGGGCAGGGGAAGCAGTTCACGACTGGCTTATTGGACTAACGTCTGCGGGCTCTGGGATTAGAAGTGGTCTCTAGCTACTGGGTACCTGGCCTGGGGTTGATTCAGGGCAGGGGAAATGCTAGCTTACTGCGTGTGAGTTAGATGAAGGAGGTGGCTGTTGGAGGATGCATGTGAAAGGTGTGTTTGCAGTCAAGTTGTTTACTAGCTCTAAGAATTAACTAGTCCTGGGAAGGGCAGCCTCTCCCTGGCCAGCTAGCCAGCCCCTACACACACCTGTTGTCAAAGCATGATTAATACAGGAGGGAGTGAATAGAGAAAGGGAGAGAGGGAATAGTTGGCAGGGGAAGGCCCTGAGAAGGGGGAAGTGATGGATTCTGAGGATAAATGGGGAGGGATGGTCCTGTTGTGGTCTGATAGAAAGGCAGGGCTTCCTCCAAGGATGAAGAGAAGATATGAGAAGCTACACCAATTTCTGCTGTATAGAGAGGCAAAAGGAACCCACTCTCAGATGGCCTCGATCTTAGCAAAAATGTAGTCAAAGCTATTTCTAGAAAATGACCAGGATGGAGTCTGGAAAAGAATTAGAACAAAACTGGGGTGGTTTTAAACAGTTGTTGGAGAAAATTCAGCATGTGATTTTCTAGGTGTGAATAAAAGAGCATCCATTAGGTCCAGGGAAGGTTATATTCAGGCGCACACACACACACACACACACACAAACCAAAAAACAAACAAACCAACAAACAAAACCCAAGGAGTTTGACTCACGGTAGAGCTTGGATGTTTGCTCATTATGGAATAGACTTCTAGACTTTTTAGCCTTACTCTTAAACCTCAATTCCTTAAATAAGAAAGTTTCTGCATCAGGGATTAGCTTCTCTTTTGGACCTGCCAAGATGATACAAGAACCTATGTTGGCTGCCATATGGGCCACTGTCCACCATGGTGGGTAGCTCTTGAATCATTGTTAGCTGGAAGACCCACCTTTCTATGTGCCAACTCCTGCCCCCTACATATGCAGTGTAGAAAATGATTAATAAAAACCCACCTCCCAATTCCTGACATGACTCCAGGAAAGGATAAAAACAAACATGTTGTCTTACCACTTTCCCCAACATTTGATACCCTGAATATTTTCACAGGTCTGTTTGTTTAAATTCTGCTCCTTAATGAAACCAGCCCCCACATGAGACTCACACAGGCAGGAAATAAATTTGTTAATGAGTGAATGAATGATTCCATTCTTTATTTCAATATAGTTTTACTATGTGCGGTACAATATAGAAGATGACCTATTATCACTGCTTTCTCTCTTCATGCTTGGTTTAGTAACTGATGTCTCCAAATGCTTGAGTGAGGGCAGATGAAGGAGAGAAACATGAAACAGCCCCCAGATGTCAACTGATTGCACATGACAGCGCCTGGCTATGTGAGGTGATAAATATATTCTGCCGACATCAGGCTGAGCAGCGCCAAAGTGGACACATATTCAGAAAAACAACAAAGCCAACGTGGTCATTTCTCTGGGCCTTGTCTTCGTTCTTTCCAGCTCAACTGCATTCTTTACTCCTGATTTGGAGGCTATTTACAGTATATCCCAGGGAGCCAGCCCGCGGTGTTGACTACTTTCTTTTGGAAATATTAGAATTTGTCTCCTGAGGGAGTCAGAAGGATTGTTTGTTAGTTTAAAAATAAGTCATACATTTGATCATGATTGTGCAAGACTCTCTCCTCCTCCATGAAGTGTCCATCTCAGGGTTGGTGGAAAGGAAGATGTCCACAGGGAGACCAGAGGCAGGACAGTTGTCTATGGGGCACAGTGTCTCTTATCTGGAGATGAAAGAGCCAAGAAAAGAAACATAACACTGAATGCTTTTTACCAAGAAATGAAGTCAAAAGGGAGAAGAATTCCCCATTAGTGGGAGGGGATTAATACCTAAGCCAAGTTTTCCCATAGCTTCTTCAGTGGATTCTTTGAAATGAAAAGAGCAGGAAAAGCAAGCAGGACTTGTACAATACCTACAGAGATCCGAAACAGAGATTTTGAAAATTGCAGCCCAGTTGAATAACTGCCTCATTCTGTGTCATGTCATCCAGACACTGGCCCAAACCTTCACTCTGATTGTATGAACATTTCATGTTTGAATCATACAGAAAATTCCCGCTTTTTCTCCAACCATGCATTCTCTCTCTGGACAATCTCATTCGAGCTCATAGCCCAACACCACATGAGGGATGATAAACCTAACTTGTAAACTGTAGACTCATCTCCTTTCTGAGCTCTGATCATGTCTACAAAGACATTCCTGATTGTCTCAAGAGACCCCTTAAGCATGTTCCCCAAACCTAACCCATCCTGTTCTCCCAAAACCAGTACCTCCTCCATCCTGATATCTTAGTAAATGGTCCCCCATATCCAATCTTTGAAAGTCAAAAAATACCTGTAACCACTAACCAGAGCTATTGTCCTGAAGGCTTGATCATATCAGATCTCTTTGAAAAAGAATGAAATACACATCTGAGCTTAGAATGAAGTCACAAGCTGTGCAGATTGTCTTTATTATCTCATTTGCATCTCCGGGACATTCGATGCCGTTGGCTGCTGCCTCCTGCTTGGAACGCCTCTTTCATTCCTGTAACTTCCTACTCCTTCATCCATTCTCTTTGTGAGTTTCTTGCTTTGGCTCTTCTGCCTACTTCCTTGTAGTGATATTATTCCTTACTAAAGACATTAGGTAATCTCCTCTATTACTCTATATTAGAGTGCTTAAAAAAAATAAATAAAACGCCCTGAGAGCTTCCTATTCAGTAGATCCTGGATCTGTATTTTCAAGAAGCTCCCCAGGTGATTCTAAGTGGTTTGTGTAACACCATTTTATATATAATTTGCGAGGTAAACAAGTGCAGAGTGTTGCTATCTTTATAGACAGAATGTATATCATGGCTGTAACTTGTATTTCTCCTAGTGGGACCAAGTGGCTGAGACTGGCTAGATGTTCACCAAACCTATTTCCTCTCCTTCCAAGACATTCAGCTCCCTTTCATTTCCTTAAGGTCATGTGTCTGAGTTCTGGCTTGTGAATGGAAATTAATACGCCCATAAAAACCTTCCATATGTACTTCTCCACGCTCTTTTCCTTTTCCAGTTGTCTGAGTCAATACCCCTAGAAACCTTGAAAGTCCTGAATTGGAAGTGGCACAGGCTCTGTCATTCTGAATCACTGACATACTGCGGGGAAGAGGATTTCCCTGCTGACCTGTTCACTCCTCCTGGTACTGGGAGATAACCAAGAAGCCCACTTATACTGTGTCAAGCCACTGACATTTAGAGGCTATTTGTTATAACACCTGACATGTCACTAACTAATACAGTTAGATAAAAAAGGTAATGGTGTATCAGCCATTCCCATGGTATATCTCAAGAACATCTAGGTACTCTTTGGTCTCCTATACCTCATGGCTTGTTAGTTACTGTAAGATCGCCTAGCTGATGGGTTCTTAACTTTTCTTGTGCCATGGATACCTTTGGCAGCCTGGTGAATCTTATGGATAGATTTCAGAAGAAAATACTTTTGAATGCTTAAAATTAACCATACAGGGTTACAAAAGGAGCTCTTTTGATTGAAATCATTGCCATAACCTTAAAAAATTAAAATTGAGGGCTGCCTGGGTGGCTCAGTCAGTTGAGTGTCCATCTCTTGGTTTTGGCTCAGGTAGTGATCTCAGGGTCATGAGATCGAGCCCTGAGTCTGCTTGAGATTCTCTCCCTCTGCCCCCCCTTCCATACTTTCTTTCTAAAAATAAATAAATAAATAAATAAATCTTAAAAAAATAAACTACCTTTCAAAAATAATTAATTTTTTTATGTTCAGTTAACCAACATATAGTACATCATTAGTTTTTGATGTAGTGTTCAATGATTCAGTACTTGCATATAACACCCAGTGCTCATCACACGGCTACCCGGTGACAGGCAAAAATAATTAAAATTTATGATACTGTTATGAACATGTTAAGAGAAAAACAACACCTTAAACATGTAAGCAAGCTAGAAGTGGAGTTTTTACAGACCCACCAATATGTGAAGTTTGGCTAGTGTCGCTCACCTTGAATAAGAATATTGAACTGTGGGGTGGCCTTTGTCAAGGCAACACGCATGTCACATTTAGTCAATGTTGACTTTTTTGTTTTGATGGTTGCAAGTGTAGAAATCCCAATTCACAGAGATATATTGAGGCATTTGGAATGAAAACTTCCATAGATGGTATTAAAAGGCCAGGAGAGTTTTCTCTCAAGGAATACCAGAACTCTCCAAGGACTTTTGAGTTAGACTCTGATGTAGTAAGATTTCACTTTTGTGATCAATGAGCTCATATTTGGCTAGATCAACATCTTTGATACAGTTTATATTCGAAACTGTTCAGTAACACATAATGAAAATGACTCATCCTTTTCCACGTATTGATCAACCAACAATTGTAGAGAGAGAATGTATTGCAGATGTCCGGGTAACTAGTAGCTGGTGGCTGAATGATACCTGGATTGGGGTTGCCCGAAAGCAATCTGGCAGCACTGCCCAGGAAACTGATCATGTGAGATCTTAGGTCTAATAACTACAACAGTTTTAAAGAATTTTGAAATATCAGCAATAACTGTAATACAACAGGGCAATATCTGATTTTTACTGGTGAAAAGTTATGAGTTCTGCTAATGTTCCTGTGGCTTATTGCCTACATTTATAATGAAAGAAATGTTCAATTTTAGTTAAAGTTATTGGGGGGAAAAAGGAGTTTTTTTCCCTCAAACAAGTTTAAGAATCCACTGAATTCTGCCCATGGATCTCTTGGAGAGAAGTGTGGGCCCCAAGTAGAAACCCCTGCTCCAGCCCTTTAAGATAATACAGTGCAGATATAGAAATCTTCTGTTTTGCAAAAGGCTGTTCATGTGGATGTGGCCTTATGTGGCCAAGCATATGTCCTGAAATAGGACATAGTTCACTCTTCCACTTCTTCCATTCAGTTGGCACCTTCTCTATTTTTCCCTGCCCTGTCTCATGGCTAGAAATCCCCACCAAAGGGATAGATTGCTAGAACCCAGGCTCTAAGCCAGGCCACACATACTACAGTATTGCCAGACATATAACATTCCATTGTCTGTTCAGTGGTGGCATTGGGGAAGCGTCTTCAATTTTCTATCTCATTAATCCCCTGAAGACTGCCTTGTTTTCTCATAGTTTTATATGAATACCATATAAATTATAAAGGTAACTATAGAAAAGTGAGATGGAAGTAACCTATAGAGACAAAAAAATACAAATAAGCACATGTGTTCACTGTGTTTACCTTTCCTTAGGATAATTTTCTTAAGCATTAGGTTTAGTACACACACGCGCACTCATACACACACACACACAGTGAGAAAGAGACAGAGAAAGAGAGGAGGGAGAGAGAGAAATCGGCATTATCAGTGAATCAGATTGCTCATGGAAGACATCCATTAGGGGAGTGGAACTGAGTCCTAGCATCTGTGAATTTCTGCTACCTGGCTTAATGAACAACACAGAGTATGTAAACAGGTAAATGTCTGTTAAAGTGAGCTAAAGCCTGCTAGTCTAGGGATGGTTTGTAAATATCTTGGATAGACGTGTATCTTAAATAACTAACACAATCTGTTTTTTTTTTTTTTAATTTAAATTCAATTAGCCAACATACAGTACATCATTAGTTTCGGATGTAGAGTTCAGTTATTCATCACTTGCATATAACACCCAGTGGCACAATCTGTTTTTAACTGAAGTGGGTTCACTTGAATGTAATATAGTTTTTCAGGAATCCTGTAATCTTGGAGAAGTTACTTAAACTCTCCACAGCTCACTTACCAAGTTGATAAGACAAGGATAATAATGCCTACCCCTTAGAATTAAAGGATTAAATGAGTTAGCACATGAAAAGAGCTTAGAGAATAATGCTTGGCACATAGTAGGCACTCTGTGTGAACTATTATAATTATTGCTAGATGTAGTATATTCATGGTAGCAATTTCATCACTATAAGAAGTGCCAAGGAGTATGGAAATGCTCAGAATTTAATGTTCTACTACAAATTCTAGATCTTACTGCTTATTCAGGTCTTGTACCTGTGTTTAAGTTTGCTTTGTCCTTCACCTCATTGCCAGCCAGTTAGCTATCAACCTGAGTCACTCTAAGACTCCCTACCCCTAAAGATCCCCTCTAAATTGTAATTGACTATGAACTTGGAATCAAGATAATGCAAGACTATTTGGATTGTGTACAAAATAGTATTAAATAGATGTGTGCATCTCATAAATGCTTCTGTTCACCTGATTGACTTTTATGATAACTATATCTAGATATCTGGAAGGATGTGTCCACCTCGTAAGTAAGGCACCTCTGTATGCTTACATGTGTCCTGGTATCACCTTCCTTCTCTTCCCTTTATCATGATTACCTTCTCCATCCTCACCCCTGGACATACGCAATAAATTCTCTCAAAGCAACACCAGGTCATGGGTAGAAAACAGTGAACTGGGTGAATTTCAGGGTCACTGGCCACTAAAATGTTGTATGACTTACGCACATGACCAACTCCAGGCCTCAGGTATATTTAGAGATGAGCAAGATTGGCTAGACCCCGCAAAGGCATTTTTTCTCATGCTTTAGATTCCAACTTTAAAAAATGATGATATTTCTTCTTGTCAACACGTGGACATGCCTGGTGTGACTGCCGGCTCCTGCTGGTGGGTGAGGCAGAGCTGTGTGTTGGCCACATTGGTGGACGTGCATTCAGCTCCTGTTTCAGTGGAGGAGCGAATACCAGAATTTTGAGCTCTGCAGGTGTTGTGTCATTCTTGATGTATTTCTTGCTGTCTAACCAGTTGGTAATATAAAGTTTATAAATCTAATCCTATAGTGGAGACAAGTTGGATGGGAGATTTTGCATTTAGGAAGAATATACCTATGGGGCTTTTAAACTGAACAATATTGAGTTGTTTGTGTCACTGTTTTATGGTTCTGGATAGTCCATTCTAGCTGGACAAGATTTCAAGATTTATGGTAACATCAGGCTAAAGACTGGTGTATTTTTAACATGCTCACATATCACCTTGTAGCTGAGGGAGACTTACCATGGTTCCTACTGCTTTGGCTGGACCAGTTTTCCTTCTGGCTTCTTGATCAGGTCTCTTTCTTGGGAATGAAAGCCTTCCCAAGGTAAAGCTTAGCCTTCTTAATGCACATCAACAGAATGGCCAAACAAGAAGCCGATTCCAAAGCAACAGGAGAAAAATGCTTTGGGGAAGTATGGTACAATGGGAAGTTCAAGGACGTAGGAGTGGAACATGTTGACTTCAGCTCTCAGCTCCACCATTGAGCTAACCATGTGATTCACCTTCTGCAGGAGCCAGGACCACTCTAGACATCAGTGTGGTCACCATGGAAGTGCATGACTCAGATCTTTCTCAGGGAGAAAATCTCCTGTGAGGATTGTGA